GTTTCTAAAGCACAACGAGTATGCCTATAAACTCGTGCTGCCAAACGATTCCGCAAGTGACCTGGTGACACTCACCGAATCAATGTGTATCAGAGCTACTGAACTGAGGCGACAAGTTAACGGCAAGAATGGTAATGATTATACGAGCGCCTCGCGATCGTCAATCCGATGATATGGAATAGTACTGCAACAGAAACCATTTCGGGTATCTCGGAACAGTCTTGGCAGATGATAGCAGTAGTGACTCTGAAATGAACCGGTGTGCTGAAAGAGCATCGGTAAATTTCGGCAAAATGTACATGAAATAATCAAGACATAATAATGAACACTATGTTCACTATTTTGGACGTTACAGTACTGGTGGCCCATGGACAACTTCGAAACATGTGGCATCATGGAGCGTCATGACTGTGGTCTTAACATACTTAACACTTACAACAGCGACGTCAACGAAGTATCGTGAAAGTGCGACAGTACAACCGGGTCCTAAACAAAAAGGTGCTAACGACCACAGGTCGGAAGAGGTTATCTGATGTACTCAAAAACGGGCATTTTCCTTGATCTGATAGAATGCCCAAAGAGAGAATGCAAATATATTCAAAATATTTCGCGTTTTGCAACTACCGTCAACAGACGCGTTGCGAAGACAACGCAAAATATGAAAACATCTCGCTAAGGCAGACCTGCTTGCGAACAGGAACATGATCCTTGTGTCAGCAGCAATGAACATGGTTTAATATCAATCTGACCAACCATTTCAAAGCGTCAAAGATGATAATAATGATAACCTAAGCCACTGTATTGCTGAATTTCTGATAAATGATATATGATACATGACGACAGCAACGGCAACGATGACTTGCGAGAAAACGCCTGCTGCGTATGCACAAACTCAAACAACTTAACAACTTAAACACTTAACAGACTTTAGCTGTGCCGTCGCAGCAGCGGCTACAATACAGAACCGGAACGACTCAGCGTAACTCAATGTTATGCTATAAAAAACAGAAATTATCTGGGTACTGATCCCTGATAAGAAATACACCTTTGTTAAATGACGACATTTCAGTTCAACGCCCAATGAAATGGGATCTACCCTTTTTCGATCCCGGTAAAAAAACCGATACAGCGGTACAGCTGACATCGCAAAGAACTAATCAAAGCAGCAACAAAACTACAGAAATCGCTTTCAAACAGCCGAAATGTAATTTGTTCAAGTGCACGTTTCTCACCAACTACTAGGACCTGCTAATCGCAGTGGCGGTGGATTCTAATTTTCATCGCAGCAGGTATATCTCAACGAGAACTCGGAAGACATCTGGGTCTGAGTAATCTCATAAATTCTGTAGAATGTCTAGTTTTATCAATGATTGACACAAAAGCAACGCAAAAACTTCAGTTTGGCTGAGAAACAGTCCATTAATGCGCTACTCGACTTGACAGCGCTGGAACGGAAACAAGACCTGATGAATTTTTCGATCAGCAAATCTCCGGCGGGTCGTCCAACATCACTGACTTAACTGTAAGAGTCCAAATTAACGTTCGCGTTGATCAAGCAGATCATGTGACATATCTGTC